GGTGGACCACACCGAGAAGGAGAGAATCGGGCCCGCGAAGAGGGAGTTTTACCCACAGTGCATCGCAAAAGGGTGCGATAGTGGTGTCGGATAGGACAGTCGGGATTGGTAGGGCCGCATGTAAGTACAGAGCAACCCCACCAGCCCTCCCTTGTTTTGAGTCCGCTCGAAAAATAGAGTAACCGTCTATCGAGATCTCCGCGTCAGGGACATCTGGTGTGAGCCAAGTCTCTGCGAGTGCGATTATGGACGGTTGTTCAAGACAATATGACTGTTTAACATCACCGAGTTTGTTGAAAAGTCTGAGGCAGTTTGTAGACAAGCATTTCAATACCGTCTCCGCTGCCTCCGAGGGTGAGCGGCCCAAAGTTGAGTGACCAGGGTGGTCAGCAGACCTAATAATTGTGCGCCGGGTTTGAGTCTATTAGTGCACAGGTGGTGGTAGCCATAATACAAATCAGAAGGTGTATGTCCGCTAATAGAAGTTTTTAGTATGATGGGCAGTGGAGGGTTGCAACGGGTATAAAAATAAATACAATGCGAAATGGGAGCGAGTCAAAAAGGGGACTCATCATATGTGAGTCTCTTGGTGAAAGTCCGGACGGCGGTAACGTGTTTTCTCCGCAGTTTGGCTGCTACACGTATTCCATAGTCCCTCGGTGGAGGTCCGGACGGCTGGAACGTGTTTCTCTCCGCCATTCGACTGCTACACGTACCCCATGGTTGTCCGTGGACTCGTGAAGAGGTTGTCGTCCTGCTTCCTGCGCGGGCGCGAGCCTGGGTCCTGATTGGGTTCGGTTTCCCTTTATGTAGGTCCCAGNTTCTAACAGCGCCGCTGCAAAAAGTCTGCCAGGTTCGACGCGCTGGAGTTCCATTCAGGAGGCCTTTGGGGCGTTGAAGTCACCTACCAGCAGGAGATGAGTGAAGTGGTAGTTGGAGGAGAGTTGCTCAAGTGTTTGTACAAGGAATTGGTCATCTTCAGGGGTACTGGAAGGGTTAGGGTGGACCACACCGAGAAGGAGAGAATCGGGCCCGCGAAGAGGGAGTTTTACCCACAGTGCATCGCAAAAGGGTGCGATAGTGGTGTCGGATAGGACAGTCGGGATTGG